TTCACACCTCTGTGTATATATATATATATATATATATATATATATATATATATATTTATATATTTGTAAAAAAAACAAAAAAACTAAATTGTAATTATTCTGATTAATATATATGTGTATATATGTAAAATGATGTAATTTATAATATATTATTATTATTATTATTATTATTAAATACATATATTATTCATAATAATAATTAATTGTAATATATAGATCAGTGTTGAAAATTAGTTTCTTTCAAACTTTCAAATGGTAACCAATTACAGCACTTAAAATGTATTCATATAATATTATAATTATTTATTTAATTATTATAATTTGTATAATTTTTTATGCAATTATTTACATCAATTTAGGCTAAGAAATTACCCCTCAAAAGATCAAAGTTGTTATTGTTTTGAATGAGAAAAGCATTAAATACATATTTTTAGGTAATGTTAGAAATAAATATTTTTGACTCAACATTGCATAAATAATATATTTTTTATGAATATTGAAATATTTATGATATGAAGAAAAAATAATTGATATTCTAAATATAAAACTAAGTGCCATAGGTGGCTGCAAGTCGCTATATTAATAATTGAGTCATTCATTCAATCAGTTCATTCAAATGTCTGAAGCAAGTGACTGGGTCACTAAATCATTGAGTGGGTCAGTAGGCGCGTTTCCATTACCCTTCAAATTGCGCAAATTGAAATTGCGAATTGAAAATATGCCTAATGGAAACGCGTCAATTTCGCAAAAACGCCCATATATCGCAAAAAAGTTTTTACGCTCGCATGAGGTGGTTTTTCATGCAATGCGAAAAATGATTAAATTGTTGTGATTATTCTTTTTATTTTATTTTATGTAAAGCACTTTGAATTACCATTGTGTATGAAATGTGCTATACAAATAAACTTGCCTTGCCTTGCCTTACTGAAGCATTGGCTCACTCGATTAGTAACAAAAAAGCAGATATTCAGGAAAAACAACACTCTTGCTCCTGTGATATTGCTAAACTATGTCATATGATACAAATGTAAGACAAAAACCCATACAAGGGCATTTTTGCCCACATATCTTGAATTTTCGGGAATATAACTGCATTTCCATAGGCTACATCATGCAGCATGTCACTATACAGTATATCCAATGTTGCATGTACTTACTGCATTTACAGACTGTTTATCAGTAAGCAAAACTTAAGAGCTGCATTGATTTGTTAAACAGTTGTTTTTTTTTCTTTCTTTTGTTTAAAATCGTTTTGTGCCTCTTTTAATTAAAAGTCAGACGCTTATTTGTGGATCAAAAAATAAGATGTAATATGCAATTCTGTGCCTAGTTCTATTTTTAATAGTTCAAAGTGAATACAATTTTCTTGGTTTGGCTTAGTTGTAATTGTAAAAGCATTTTTGGGGGGTGAAACCATTTTCCTGTGGTTCTGCCGGTTGCCAGGGCAACCTTATGAATTTATCTTTTTTTTCCTACTTCATTTAGCTTTTCTCTAGATTTTGACGATTCACTTTTTTCTGGAGTGACTCGTTACCCTGGTGACATCTGATGTTTGATGTAACACCATTGGCATAACCTTGATTATAAATTTGTGTGAGCGTGAACGTTGTGTATGGAACAGCGTGTGGTGTATTAGCTGGAACTCACACGGCTGGTATGAGGTGTGTGTGGCTGGTGTGAGGTTAATGAGTGGATTTGCTGCACTGCAGCGCTGCTGGAGTCTCATGCTGATGTGCAGCAGCTGAGGACTCACTGACCCACTGCAGAGTCATAAATCACTGCATTTCTCTCTCTCTCTCTCTCTATACATACTATAAATATATATATATATATATATATATATATATACACTGTATATCTCTTTCTCTCTCTTTCTGCTGGACTACACTTCTCCTCGTGTGCTGCCACTATCCCTGCTCCTGTAAGTCCTTCACTCCCCTCACCTTCAGCACACACACATTTCTATTGAGTCTTCATTCTCTTGAGTTTCCAAATCGAATTAAGAGTATGACTTTGTTTGAACTATTATGCACAGTTTTCTGTACATGTTACTGAATGCTATTGAACATTTATATATCTAATGCAAGGACACATTACATTTTTCAAAAGTGACAGTAAAGATGTTTATAATGTTGCAGAAATTTTATATAAATAAATGTTGTTCTTTTGAACAAGAAAAATCATGAAGAATCATGAAAAATGCTTTGCCATCACAGGAATAAATAAAACTTTAAAAATAAAATAAAATAGAACAGAGTTATTTTGAATTATAACAGTACATTCAAGACTTATTTATTTTAATTTCATATATAAAATATAAAATATCCATCCATTTGGATTACACCGTTTTAAGAATGAGATTTACTTACAAAGCAAACGCGTTTTAAATAAACACTAAGCAGGTTTATATATTTATCATGAATAAATCCGGTTTATTATAAGTAAACAAATCGAATACATTTTAATTAATTGAATCTTGATTGTTCCACAGTTAGCCGTATTTGAACCAGTTTCAAACATTTTAACTGATTAAATTACTGAAATAACTGATTTAGACTGATTCTAAGGAATATGAATAAATATGTTTTGAAAATATTATTTTAATAAATTGATGCAAATACTAGTTTATGGCATGATTCATTTTTATGAGTGGCAGTATTATCATTTAATGTTGACTTCCGCAATTCCTCTCCTGCATTGCCTGATCCTGTTGTCGGCTATTTCTGATCTAAAGTGCTCATTTGCATTATTTGCATTTTCTAAATGCTGCAGATTCTGAGGGACTTTGGGCAGTTTTCCTCATAACCTTCACTTCTCTCTCCCTATCTGAGATTGTGAGACCGTCTGAGCAGCGCAGCCTCTCTAAGAGGAATAATGATGAAGGGGTTTGTGTGTCAGGAAGGCTGCAGATTGTGTCTGTCTTTTAACTATTCTTTGTTGTCTATGACGCTCAGCTGTTTGTTGTGTATTTATGTGTTTATGGTCAAAAAGTAGCATTGAAGCTTAAAATTATGCGATTTGTGGAATGCAACAAAATGTATCAGTCCAAACCTGGGTCACTACCTGAGCTGCAATTTTTCTTTCCCACTTACTGACAGTGTTTCTAGAGTTACTGTCTTTTACTTTATGAGGATGGTACAGTATAAATACTTTGTGGCATTTTTTTGTTCCGCAGGATATGTACTGCCATAGCTTCATGGATGAATTCTGCCTCCCCTGCCTCAGTTACACCGGTGAAACCTGGATCTGTAGGAACTGAGAAGAATAAACCTGAGGAAAGGTAAGATGTAAACACTCTTGTCCCTGAAGAACATGTATTATACACTTATGCACACCACCTTTAGCATGTAATTAATTTGTTCCAATCTGTTAGTTTAAGTGAGTTTGGCTGGTTTTGGCTCAACCTTTTCCGCAAACACTCTCTCACCGTTTCATTGATTCTTCGCACTCCAAGCCTCACTTAAGCTCTCAGCCTCAGGCTATTAACTCAATCACACATGCATTCACTCACTCGCAAAAGTCTCCATCTGTCATTGTTTAGCCTCCGACTCACACACTCACCAACTTTTTCTTCCCTCCTACACGCCGACGCAACTCTGCGCTCTCTCTCTCTCTCTCTCTCTGTGATCTCTACTTTCTCAGCTTTATTTCCGACTCTGCATACACCTGTATACACACCCAAGCCTCACTTAAGCTCTCAGCCTCAGGCTATTAACTCAATCACACATGCATTCACTCACTCGCAAAAGTCTCCATCTGTCATTGTTTAGCCTCCGACTCACACACTCACCAACTTTTTCTTCCCTCCTACACGCCGACGCAACTCTGCTCTCTCTCTCTCTCTCTCTCTCTCTCTGTGATCTCTACTTTCTCAGCTTTATTTCCAACTCTACATACACCTGTATACACACACACACACACACACACACACACATTTCCTCTCAGTCTCACACTTTCCAGGCAGGGGCCATTGCAATGATCTATAGTTCTGATCCAGCCACAAAGATGCATTAACTTTCCATTCTATAAAATGAGTGATGTCCAGTGGCAGGTGATCAGACTCATTCAATTTAAAGTCTTTCAATCTGTTAAAAAGCTGTTGGCAAAAAATGACTGACCTTCGGGAATGACGTCTTTCTTATGTTGCAGTTGTAAAGAGCACATTTTCGTTAGAACTCCTGCAGTAACTTTCTGGGTGTCTGCCTGGGTCGTGTATTATCTTTAGGAGACATTGATATGAGGCAATATATAAAACATTCAGCAGACTGTCAGGTGTTGAATGGTGTTAAGTATTAGTGAAGAGAGTCTAGAGTACATTGTTGCTATATCCTCAGTATCCACACACTGGTTCTGTTAAAATCATGCAAATTAATGAAATCGTTGAGAAGTCATTGATTTCACACACGATTTTATTGATTGTGAGTTAATTTGATTAATTTTGACATCACAGAATTATTGATTTAAAATAATTGGTCATGGGAATTAATAAAATCTTTAAAAGGTAATAAAAAGTCATGTGAATTTCAAGGATTTTATTGATTCCTTTGATTTCCAATTCATTTTAAAGGTTTCATTAATTACAATGACTTTTTAATACATTTTGAAGTCACAAATTAAAATATTTAAGACAACTATATGTAAGTTCTATTTATTATTATTATTATTATTTACCTTGAAATATCAGTTTTAAAATCATTCTGATGGTACACTGACTTACGGAAGTTCTAAGCGGCCATGCATTATTTTTTTCCTTCTTGTTTTCCCGTTATAACGACTTATTTTCTCGTTATATCGACATAACGAGAGTTGTTTTCTCGTTATAACGACTTATTTTCTCGTTATATCGACATAACGAGAGTTGTTTTCTCGTTATAACGACTTATTTTCTCGTTATATCGACATAACGAGAGTTGTTTTCTCGTTATAACGACTTAATTTTCTCGTGATCTTGACAAAGTTTTTTTTTTTTTTTTTACAATGATTGTTTGAGCCACTGTTGTTATAGTAACGAATTCAACTTTGAAAAAAAAATAATGCAATTTTCTCGTTATATCGACATAACGAGAGTTGTTTTCTTAGAACTTCCGTACTGACTTCTAGTCATGGAAATTAATACAAATCTTTAAAAATTCATCAAAATCATGAACATTTATAAAATCTTAAAGTCATTGGAAAGTATGCAATTGACTTGAAATTGTGCTTTGTTAGTACAATACAATCTGTATTTTGTAAGATTATTCAAATATGTATGCAGTAAGTATAAATGTGTGGATAAGTCATGGAAAAAGCCATTGAAATTAATGGGTCAAAAAGTGTGGAAACGGTTTTGTGCTTTGCAAACGTACTCCAAATCCACTCCAGAGGAACTTTGAGTAATAAATGGCAGGATACGCCTGGATGCTGTCGAAGCTTACTTGAAAATGTCTCTCTTTTTTTTAATCATATCTACTCTTTGACGGCTATCTTCTTTCTCTTCTACTGTAACACTCTGCTCTGGAATTTTTACGGACAGGCACTAATCACGCAGACTGCTTCCATTGATAACTTCAGCTGAGTCCACTGTACAGCTAGATGGAAAGTCGTGTCCTAATCCCCACCCTTCCGAATAGCGAGAGGCCCACTAACCGATTGCCTCCATTTTTCAGTGTCACCTTCATGAAAGCAAAGGCTGTGTATCCCTGTGAAGCTGAACACGATTCCGAACTCTCTTTCCAGGTTGGCGCAATCTTCCATGACGGTAAGTGTTAACGTTATCACTGCCACAGGCACTCACCCGAATCCACAGACATATTGGATTTGGCGGGTCCTACAAGCACAAAAATAAAAAAATAAATAAATCTGATCTCATATCAGCATAGGTGGAGGGAGGAAAGTGGGGCAAGGGTGTAACATCCCCTAAAATCAATTCACAAAGAATGAGACTGAGATAGAATAACACAAGGAAATGAGGGGCCACTATCAGAGCTCTTGTTTTCTGAAGCCTTTATCTCATCAACTTCAGACAAAACCTTTCAGAACTCTTGCTGAGATTGTCTTGGGAAAAAAATGATTTTGAGCCAATCATTTTAACTTAAAAGTGAAATTTTAGTTTATTGGCACCCCAAATAATAAGTCATTTTACTTTGAGTATGGAAAATGTGCTTGTAAAAAATCAATATACAAGAATAACCAAACTCAGTTCTATGAAATTATCTAAACCAGCAAAAGCATCACCTGGCATGAAATGCTGAGATGAAAAAATTTTAATTTACAAAAATAAATATATAAATAACTAAAATTGATGGGAAGGCGACTTTAAAAGTATGTGCATTAAATACTAAGGCCATGAAAGGCACTTTTTTTTAAATGTAAAATATTGCTAGGCATTTATATTCCTAACTCATACCCATATAATTTACATTCATCAGCCATGCTAACGATCCACATTAAATCTGATGAGGACTTCTTGCTTGTCTGACATGCAGTGTGACAGAAGAGCTGCAGTAAGACTTTTACCTGTGTGTCCGTGGTTTTGCTCTGCAGTGACACTCTCCAGGGAGCCCGGATGGCTGGAGGGCGTGCTGGAGGGAAAGCGAGGACTCATCCCTAAAAACTATGTGGATATACTGTAACTCCGAAAAGAACTATCCTCACACTTCTCTTTATATACATGGTATCCATGGTCTCGGCGGCTCTTTCACAGTGGCACTGCTTGTCGTTCCTCCTTCCTTCTCCACACTAAATATATTGAGAGACACAGATGTTGCTAGCACAGGAATTAAGTTCAAGTATAAGCTAAAATGTGCTGTATACATACAAGAGACTGCACTTTTTAGAGTTTGGAAATGTAAATGTGTGGGAAAATATGCATCCGTCATTGTGACTTTGTTGTCCTCTTTTGTTTGTTTTTTGTTTGCTTTTTAAATCGCATGCCTCGTAATTTTAGCCAAGTAGTTTGAGTTGTTTAGCATTAGTATACTCAAAGATGCCTTGAGTATCTTTGCATTAAATATGATCAAGTTGCATTTAATTGGGCATGATGATGATGTATAATGGTAAACATGAGGAAACGTGTAACAATATGACAGTGCAGTGAACGTTGTCAATTTGGAGGGAAAAAAAACAAAGTTTTGTGTCTTGGTTCATTGGAACACTAGATTGCTTAGAAATGTAGTGCTTGTCGGTTATTGATATTGAAATTGGTATGCGATTATTCAATATTTTGCATTGATTAAAACTGATGCAGTGCCTTAAATTTATTACGCATGGCATGCGAGATGCTGTTCAGTAACTCGAACAGAGCATTTTTTTATTTTTTTATTTTTTTTGCTATTCTGTATATAGGTTTTAATGTTATGTTGAAGAACAGAGACCGATAAATAAAAAGTAGCCCATGCAATGACGTAAAATTAAATATTGCCAAGTCTTACATCTGTGTTGTATACATAGCATTATTTTTGTGCAAAGAAACTTAAAAGCCAAGAGCTTTCCCTCTTTAAGTGGTTAAAAGTTTATCACATTCTTTTTGCAGAAACCCTGAAAAATGGCAGGACTTATTAATGTTTCATTTTTCTAAGAGCCCTTGTTCCACAGGTTCATATTTGTGACTGAGCGTTTCTGCGGTGATTTAAGACTGTCATTTATGACCTCTGCAATGGTCTTGGCATTGATATCATTTTGTTTTCCCATGTTGAACTTGTTGATCAATGTTAAATAAAGTATTTTATTCTTATATCTTGTTTTTCATTTTTATTTATATGCCAAACTAAATGTCTATAATTAATAGAAGTCACATGCTGCAGGGCTCTGTAGACACCCTAATGTGCTTACTGAGAAATAAACTAAAACATTTGTGATATGACTGTTGTTTAATGAAAAATAAAATAAGATTGTGTGTAATTTTCTTAATGTCAATTAACTTAATTGTGTGGATGTGCTCCCATCAAGGTCAAAAAGAGACTATTCTTTAAGGCTTCTGCTGAAGAACTTTAGCTTGTCTAATAAATTCAAAACGTAATTACCAGATTAGATGAACTCCTATACAATAGCCACTTTCACACATGAACCCCGTTAAATTGCAGTACAATTGCTGGCTATCTTTTCTAGTAAATGTACCACACATGCAATGGCTTTCCGTTATTTATCCGTATTGCATTCATACATCCGCACCAAAATGTCATTTAAAAACTTGCTGATGCCATTTTCTAGAAATCCATTCAAAAAACAAGCTCTTTTATTTCAGTTAAGGTTCATTATGTTTCGTTATCACATTCATTTTAGTTTCTGTCCCATTTAATGACATTTCTTTCCACAATGTAAACAACAATGATTTTTGACTTCTGATGTTTGACTCCTGAATTAGATTCTTTAGAGCTTTTTGATTGGCTCAAACTCATAGTAAACATTTTGATGGTTTATTGTAATTTTATTGTCCGAATACGCAGCATTTTGTTACTGCCACCTGTCAAGTGTGAGAATTTCGAAATATGTTCACAAATTTCTGTTGTATGTCAATGAACTGTTGTCTATTGCATACATTGCATTTAGAGCATACTGGCTTATTCTCTCCCACACACTTCTACCCCTGGAGCTGCTTTGCAGCTTTTACATTGAACCTCTCCCCCTTTAAGTGGATTAAATCTTCATTTCCTAGCAGATTTGGACTGTCGCCTTATATATTGGACTTGAGTTGGAGCACACAGCAGTGTAGGTCCTTACCATACACTGGATTGGGTGCTTAAAAAACAATCCATTTGCATCAAAATAGACCATTTTGTTGGACCCACAGTGCAGAGGTTAGCACACATGCACTGCGTTTGGAGCAACTGGGTCTGGTTTAGGTTATTTCCTGTTTTCTGTTCAGGTAAGTAAATGATGAAAGAATATTAATTTTGGGATAAACTACAAAGTCACTTTCAAGGAAAGTCAGTTGACTTGCTGGCCATATTTGCAAAAATTCAAACAGCTATTTTGGCATGCAAGATTAAATCCTATCTATTTGAATGGGGAAATACTGAAACCTCAAAGTCTGGTGGCCTATTTAAGCTCATATTTAAAGAATATTTCAAATCAACAATGACATTTGCCATGAACTGTCTGATAAATATTGTTTCTTGCACTCAAACAGCATTAAAAAGTGTATATTTTAAGTTAATTTAGCATGAGTTTCAGGTTTTTGTGAGACCAGAGCCTCTGGCTGCTAGTTGTCAGACTTTGTTCCTTTGTGTGTGTGTTTTGCTCCCCATGTGCCCTCCTTGCCCTTATTTGGTTAGTTTCCTGTTCCTGTCCTGATTATGTTGATTTAATTCCAGGTGTTCCCCGTTTATTTCCATTGATCCCAGGTGTGTCTCGTCATCCCCTCGTCTTGTCATGTGTTTAAATAGTGTTCCCTGTTTTTAGTTCTGCGTCCGGTATTGTTCATGTCTACATGTGCTATGTGAGTTTTCCGTGTTTCCTTGTTATTATTAACTCTCTCTGGATTGATGTACTCCTCGTCGCCCTCCGTTTCTTGCGCCTCACTCCACTCAGTAGTGCAACCGTGACACTAGTGCAGTGGAGCGATGACTTCTTTATTTTATTTATTTAAACAGCCTGTTTTGTTGGGTATGTTTACATGTACTAATTCTCGCCAACTGGAATGAACCCAATCTGATTTCAGATTTGGAATTCTGTTTATATGAACCCTAATTCTGATTCACATATTCATTTACATGTGCATATCTAAAAGTAAAGCTGACATTTGTGTCAGAAGAGCTTTTTAGCAAATATTGCACGTGTAAACTGGCATCACGGTACTGCGCATGTGTGCAAAGAATTTTTGAATATGATTAAGAAAATAGTCGGATTCAAGCTTTTAAAAAAATTCATTTAGACTGAGCTCAGATGGATTAGATAGATTGAGGTGTTTACTTGAATGCTTTTCAGTCTGATTAAGCCATCAATCGGATTATAAACTGATTATTTAAGTGCATGTAAATGTAGCTATTGAGAAATATATCATACAATTCTGAAAAGTGGTGTCATTATGCCTGGTAGTTAGAGGGGAGGGGTCAAAAAAATAGTTTTTTCTAGCATCCCCCCAAAACAAAAGGGCAGGTCATTAGGATCAGGAATTTTCATGAGAGATTACCAACTCAATTCATGTCTTTAACAGTCGCTCAAAATAAAACCAGGAATGCATAAATAATAAACAGGGTAATTTCTTGAATTTTGATTTCTTGACAACTGAAGTCACAGCCTCTGTCTAATTAGCTTACAAAGCACCTCCAGACTTTGCTGCACTCGTGTGTGCGTTATATCACACTTCAGTTCACTGTACACATCATTAGCGTGCAAATGTCTGAGATGTGTGTTCCCGAATGTGTGTGTTTGAGTGCCACGTATTACATAATTATCATGACATGGTAGAGTCACAGACTTCCAATAACTAATAGAGCAGATGATAGGACGAGACATGGGAGCTAGCTAAAAATAGGCAACGTGTCGAAAAGCCGGGTGCTTGCATAATTAAACGAGCCTGACCTAATGAGATGGGCAAACTCACCCTCCCACCATCCATGTCCGCTTCATCTCACTTTCTCGCCCTCTGGCTTTCCTTTTCTCTCCCTCTGTGTCTCCCTTTCACTTCTGTTTCCTTGGATGCAGTATAACCTCAAAGTTCCCATCTGTTTTTTCTTTTCTTTCCATGGTCATGAGTTAAGACCAAATCACTATCTGCGCCATGTTTCCTATTCCTCTGACTCTCTGCCTGAAAGAGTGAGATGTAGCACTGCATCCGATCTCAGATGAAGATGTCCCTCCTCCTTGTTTTGTACAGTACAGTGAAGATACTACACCTTCTTTGTGCTCCTTAAGGCAAGACACCACAGGCAAAAACACAGCATTTTTTTATGCATTGGTCAATTTTGAGATAATTATGCGTTGTTTTAGGCTAGTTTAAACATTTTATTCCTAAATCATAGTGATTTTTTTTTTCTTACTGTTGAATTTTCTGATTTATAAAGTGATAAAAAGAGAAACCCCCCAAAACTTTGAATCTAATATGTAAAACAAACCTGGCTTTATCCAATGTACAGATTTCTGTTCTGGAAATGTATGCAAATTAGTGCATATATAATTTGTTAATTTAAAAATGTGTAATACAAAAGAAATTGCAATTCTTAATGTTTATCAATCAACTGGAGAAGTATGGTAGTATCTATTATTTACATTTTCTTTTTTTTGTAAGAATACTTCATGCTGCGTATGTATAAAATATAATCAAACTGTTATGTATTATATCTCAGATGAATGAGACGGGGAAGGTGGGACAGTGAAAAACAAAACAGAAAAGGATTGAGTGTCTGCAAGCAGAGAATCTGGGGCACAGAAGCCGCCATGTGTGAAGCCACAGCCCTGAAATCTGCCTGATCCAATAGAATCTGTTTATCTGGCAGGACTACACAGCTTGTGCTATTGGCAATCTGGGAGAGATTTGGAGTGGGCTGCGGATTCGCGCAAAAGAGCAAAAGTAATACTGTCTACTCTCACAGTCTGGCAAACAAGCCCATTTTTTAGATCGGGCTTCTAACGAGGTTAATGGCGAATTTTCTCTCTGGGGACGTGGAGGTGTTACATTGTTAATGCTTATGTTCTTTGTCAGAAGATCTCGCTCTCTCGTGCTGTTTTCCGAGGATTTTTCCGTCACTGCTAGACCAGTAAATGCAGACGAGACTTGCAGTTTTCTTCACATATTACCATAATCACTTACTTCCTCATTCATGCTCATTTCCCCTGGAGATATATAATTTGCTAATACTAAAATCTGCCAGAGATATGAATTATGACTTTGTCGCTCAAACTTACTCTCCTCTTTTCTTTAAGTGTGCGTTCTCTCTCTCTTTCTGTTTTCCATTGGGCTTTGCCACATCTTATCCAGGTTTTTTTTTCCCTCATCCATTCCTTTTTTTTCCTACTGCTGCTGTTTCTTTCCACTCACTCAACACCCGCTCAGATGTCTGCAGCATCCTATGATCCAATCCACAGTCTTCCTACTGTTATCCACTACAGTTGACCCCAGAATCTCTAAAACATCTACAGTATGAGCAGTAACGCTTTAAAATAAGGTGCAGTTTATTAACATAAGTAGGTAGGTTGAGTATAATGAATTAACAATGAACAATACTTTAATTTATTAATCTAGGGTACAGACCACATGAAATAAAAAAAAAAATCACCTTACCTTGCTTCTAAACACTTATTGTGAACAATTCATCCATGCATTCGTTTCTCTTTTTTCCATTTCCTTTTCCATTAATCTCGTAATTAATAATCAAGGTCAACTCGATATTCGAGTGAAATGACAGACTTCTATCTGGTGACACAGGCTGAACTTTAGTCCGCGTGTCCCTGCAAACTCATATTCATATCTGCCTCCATCAAACCAAAAACCAATGAATAGAACTTCCAGCACTCATTTTTTCTTCTTCTGTCAATAATATAGAAAAATAGAAATGATATGGAGAGAAAAAAGAGCTGTTGCTTCAGTTTTATTGCAAATGTTATGCTAGTTTAAAAAATATATTTTGTTCATTGTTAATTCATGTTCATTCAAAATACAAAACAAATTAATTTATACAGCAACTAATAATCTTTTAGTATAGAAATGAAAATGACCCTACATTAAAAGGGTCATATGATGCTTTTTTAAAGATCATTATTTTGTGTATTTGGTGTACAGAGTCTTAACTTTGATAAAGAATCTCTCTTTGGTTTTGAGACTTCTTTGCAACTTCAGGGATCTTATCTATGCACAATCAGTTGTAACACTCCAAAGAGAAAGGAAAACTTGAAATCACATCATATGACCCCTTTAATGAATGCTGTGAAAGTAATGAAAAAGTAATTACTAACCTAACCCTAACAATTTACATTACCCTACATTAATGAATGCTGTAAAAGTAATGTATTCTTAGTTCATGTTAACAAATTGAACATTGAGTGTAAAACACTTCACAATAAGCCGTTGACCCACGAGATGATTTATTTATTTATTTATTTTTTGACATTTAATTTATATAGTTGTTCAAGAAAGAAGTCGGTGTTGAGTTAATGGTCCTGCAGATCATCCGACAAAAACCACTCTATTTGAAAGTATCGGTGGGAGCTGCAGATCACAAAAGCAATACAAGAGCGTGTACTTTCTGAACTGCCCTTAAGTTCACCTGGAACAGATCACCAAATTATATATTAAACAATATATTAAGAAACAAAGGAAACTGTGTTTCATCACTACATTCAAATACACTGTCTAATGTACTTGAAATACTTATACTTGAAATACTTAACTCTATGAACATTAGTAGATGTTCTCCGGCCAAAAATCTAATAAATTTGTATAGTATACATTGTGATTTACAGCAGAAGTAACACCAATTCCTGATCTTGAATTTTTTTTTATGAATTGTCTTTAATAATAATAATAATAATCTTTATTTTTCTACAACGCTTTTAAATGTTACTTCTCAAAGCGCTTTACATAACAAATAAAACATCAAAATGCACCATATAAAAATGTATGAAAATAAGCAAAAACACCTTTAAACCACATTAGAAATAAAAACAATATATAAAATTTTTAATAAAAGCTACCCTAAAGAAATACATTTTAAGGCGAGATTTAAAAATGTGAAGAGGTTTAAGAGATTCTTTAGTGGCAAAAGAAAGAGTGCACAGTAATTAATTGTTAACAGGTTTATTGGAATCGCTTGATGTTTCTGCAAACACAGTTATGGCAAAATCTGCATCAAGATATACAGTTTAGAGGAACTAGTTGCATCTGTCTTTTGCTCATGTTGTATATTTCTGTACTGAGGAGATTTGCTAACAAGTATTGTACAAAGCGCTGATTTAAAAAAAATTTAAATTGTCACAAAGGAGATATGGCTTTGTCATTTTAAACAATGTAGAGTACACACATTCAGATGTATCCCCCCAAAAAAGAGAAGAAAAATCAATATCCATTAACACATGAGTGTTAATGTGCAAACACATCATGTGATCTGTGGGTTTTCTCTAATAAACTGTATTTTATTCTGATTCAACATACTGGTTACCTTGATCATGCTTTGCCCTTATTTGCACAAAGGTGCTGCTTGGTGGTAATGTGATTTGTACAAATGCATAGTTTTACATGTTATTAGACTCCCCAAAAAAGTCATGTGCAGACTGTCAAAGCTGAAGTAACAAGCAACTCGAAAGCGTGGATCCACACCAACTTTCAATATTTCAAGCTTTATCATTTGGTGATGGAGAAACACAAATTGCAAACATGCTGCAACAAGCATGGCAATCTATTCTTAAGTTGCCGATGGACATCTGAATTCATATCAGACTGTTCAGGTTCAATTTTGCTCCTTGTCCTAGTTCTTTATTTAGGTTTTCTTACATAAAGGCTGAATTTGTTTTATACTATTTAAAAAAATCCCATACATTTTTCATATACTGTATAAACAACAACAATAATAATAATATAGAGCATTGTTGGTTCACTAGACAATAACTTGTGAAACACACAAAAAAAATTTAAGAGTGCAAAACTAAGAAATTCAGAGTGAATGTTTTTTTTTTTCTTTTCTTGGTTTGATTTTTATTTATATTTTTATTAATTTTTTTTAATCTGGGATAAAAGTATTTGGCAACCACAAGCACTTTTCCTTTCAGCATAATATAGCTAACTTCTGATGAGAGCACTGCGTTGTGTTTTTTTGTTGTTGTTAGATTTGTAGGCGAAGCAAAGAGGAAAACACAAAAACATACAATTAGTTCACATTACTACAGATCAAAATGACAAGTTTTAAGTTAGTGACATTCGGGGAGTAAACAAGTCTCTCTTGCTGTGAAAAGAAAATATAAATTAAATGTAAATGAATCCATCATGCTCTCTGGGTCTTGCTCTGGATTCTGATTGACTAAGGTCAGGGAAATATGTGAACTTCATCCCAGCCTCTGACAAATATTTAATATAGAAATGTTCCATACAACGCAACATCGTAATTCACTGATTTATTTACAATAGATACTGAAAAATGGTAACTTTTGAGAAAAAAGGCACAAGTTTCCCTTCTTTAATACACTGTAAACATCTTTTCAAAAAGCATGCATAAACGTTTCACTTTACAAAAGATCTCATATATTCTTTTTAGACAAATTACTAATATATTGAGTCCGGCAAAATAGAATCTCTCAAAAAATACTTCACATACATCCTATGAACCTTTTAACATTTATTCTCATTTATATATCGGTGTATTTAAAAAAGGGAAAGGTTGGGGAAAAAAAGAGACTACTGTAAATAATTTTTCAACATCTAGTTTTAGGTCCATCAAACACATTCAACGTACAGTGTATTGACAGGTCGGTGAAATGGGTTATGCCTGGGTACCACGGATTGATTTGATTGTTCTTATTTAAATGATTAGAATTATGATTTTTTTTGTCCCCCAACAGTTTTTTACCACCAACCAGCTACATCAAAAAGGCAAACATCAAAAGTTCTCTGACCTTTCCAGTTCACAAATGTCCCAACCTGACCCCCACCCCACCCCCCAAAGCACATTACATGACCAACACAATAGCTGAAAATCTAATATCCCAATGATCACATTATTGTGCCTGTGCAAATCAAAATCAGCTAATAGGATCATTCTAATCCTATCAGAGAAAACCAACAATGCCCTCTCAAAAATCATTCAGCTTTCCTGTGCCTTTAAGTCATTTGAGAGAAAAACAGACAAACAAATACATGCACACAAACGCACGAAACACACTCAAACCTTCATTGTCCTCTGACTCACAGCATTTCAGAACTAGTGGTACCTCTTTTTATTCAATCAGCAGCACAGTGGGGTTATGAAACATGAAACAGTGGTCCAAATTCCTTTTTTAAGAAACAATTCACTCAAGTACTCGCAAGTCGACTGGTATTTCCCCAAATAGCCAGGTTTTAATTGCAAGGTGGTTTAAATCAAAAACGTCCTATGTACAACGTTTGAAAAATCTTCCTACAAGCAACAATTATAATCATATGATACACATATATTGTGTGTTTATGAGCAGGATACTGTTGTTATTAGTCTGTGTAACCATGTCTCTTTCTTACAGTAGACTACTACGTGGACTATAGCTGTTATTGTTGTTTGCTAATATGAAAGCTGTATGATTTTCCCCATACGGTATCTAACTGTACATGTGCTGCTACTGAAAATTATTATTATTTATGTTAAGAAAACAGAAGCACCTTGTTAAATGGCTTCTAGCTGGATTGATTCTTTGAAACACAAAAACTTCACAATCATATAAAATGCCTTTCTTTTCTGGAATTGTAAATTAGTACTGTATTTTCCTTAACGTCAAAAGGGAGCCGGTTTAGTAACAGCTTAGGTATGATTTACTAAATTTGCTACAGTCCAAGCTCGCACACAAAATGTGGCATGTGTGTCTGCATGAGCTCATTTTTTTCCAAGACGAGCCATAATGTTTGTTATAGTTGCAGTTTTTTTTCTGTCCAGTTCAATAGCATTTTTTTTTGAGCTGCCATTTTTCAGCTTTCAATCATCAGGCCACCACAGCACTGCATCAGCGTGGCCAGTACTCACTATGTAAAAACGTCAAGTCAACAAAAAACACATTTATGCCATTTTTGCAGATAGATTTCAATTTGATTCTTTCTACAATCACTTCTGTGCACCAATTAGTCACAATTTAGCTATATCTAACATATTGTAGCCCTTGTAATGTATCTTATTTCCTCTTTGCAAACACCCTAATTTAATCGACTTTTCATGAAAGTGATGCAGGACATTTTTCTGTCTTAATCAGCAATAAAAAGCAGTTTTATTACTGAATCTTGCCTGTAATTTTATAAATGCCAGAATGTATGATAGTTACATACAAATGCAGTGGTGTTTACTGGCAGACTGACAGGTCTGGGATTCAAGGATATGTCTAGTATGTGGGCCCATATTTCTGTGTGTGTCATGTATTCACATGTGACTATGCACTATAGCTTTACCAAAGAATATGGCTTCATATCCACACAGAACACTGTCAGCATTGTCTTTGGGGTTAAGGAACGCACTGTCACATGAAATAGGAGTTCTTCTCTGTTGACCGGGTACAGAGATCGCTCTTTGCCTTCCCTCACTACACAAGCCTTATATGGCTTTAAACCAAGCCTCTTGTTACGCCTTGCTTTGTGCATAGCGGGCTTGCTCTTGTTCGCTCTCTGAGGGCTGGGTGTCCTCTGCGTTTCCATTTGATCCTTAATTTTTCCCTCCTTTTGTGAGCTTTCAGTCATTTCTTATGAAAGTAGAGGGTGTGTGTTAGGCCCGACTCCACCTTTGGTATCTGGTCGCTGATAATTTCCACCAACATCTCAGGGAACTCGACCTTCAGAGCCTGGGATTCACGGAAAGTGTAGAAACAAAAGTCCAACAGGCTCCCCACGAGCTGTAAAGAGAGAGAACACACTTCTGTCAAGGGAACTGTCAGATTTAATTCAAACTGACAGTGCTTATCATTAAAGAGATGTTCTGGTGAAACATGAGTCTGGGTAAACATGTATTGATGAATTAGCAAAGAAAAGACTGCAGAGCAGCCGAGCTCATTTATGGATGCGCCGGCTCACTGACCAAAGCGGAAAAGCTTTTAGGCAGGACTTGAACTTGTTTCTCTTCATCTTGCAAATTAATAAATCAACACTGCTGTCAAGTGTACTTCACCCTCAAGTGCAATTCAAAAACATCTTTTCCAAGACTTTTGTGTGCTATTAAAAAATGCTGAGATGGCAGCAATGCAAAAAGTGATTAGCAATGAACTGAGGCTCTAATCACTCAGTGGCAACATGAAGGGTGGCAGTTTTTCATTTGAATGCACACTTGATATTATAACTCCGTAATAATCTACAGCTGTAATTATTTTAACATCCACTGATTTTAAATATTAATGGCTTTCAGCTACTAACCACATGAGAAATTGTGAGCTACTTCTAATGAATGAATATTAAATATGTATTAAATAAATATCAGCTCATTCTGATTTGTTTTTAGACAAATATTTGAGCTACATGATTTAAACCAGAATACATTTAGATATGTAGGTGTTCATTTTTTTAGTCAGAAAAGTGCTTGCACTTATTACAGATACTATAGAAATAAAGCAGATGACTCTATGAAACAAACACTATAAACTCCTGTTACTCCTGTCCCTGTTAATTATATCAAACGGATGTCCAGGGACCCCAAGTGCAGGGGCGGATTTAGTGAATTGGGGGCCCCAGGCAAAATATAAGAATGGGGCCCTATATATTTGCACACATTTTCCGAGATCAACCTTGAGGTTCCTTTTTTTATGTGATGCTTGCTGCTGCACAATGGTTCCCCATAATTGTGTCCAATGTTTCTACATGTTTCATGTACATGTTATAATGGCTTTCTTTCATGTTGTAGACCACGAAATAGCAACTGATTTACAGTAGAGATACAGGTTAAATATAAGAATGGGGCCCTATATATTTGCACACATTTTCCGAGATCAACCTTGAGGTTCCTTTTTTTATGTGATGCTTGCTGCTGCACAATGGTTCCCCATAATTGTGTCCAATGTTTCTACATGTTTCATGTACATGTTATAATGGCTTTCTTTCATGTTGTAGACCACGAAATAGCAACTGATTTACAGTAGAGATACAGGTTTTCACAAAAACAAAATAAATTATAAAATGATAAACCTCACAATTTAGCGTTTAAACCAGGGGTGAGTCAGAAGTATAAATTATTGTATTAATTTAAAACGGGGTAATGTGGGTGGATTTTCGCATTGAACAAAAACTACAGACTGGATTATTGAAAATGAACATTCATTCTCTGCCAGCAGGAGGCGCTTTTGGAACGTCAGAAATATAGAATGAGAAAAGTGCGAAAAAATATAGCCTATATTGACGAGGAAAGTCCACTGATGAGTTACCAGTGTAAGCCTGTGTGCAAAGGCTGTCTAATTCTAAACTTTAAAATACATTTAATTTTAGTTATTTTAACTACAAATTTAAATAAAACTGAAAAAATTATGAAAAGGCAATTATACATGTACACACCTAAGGATTATATCAACCAAAAAAGTAACTGCGTATGTGTCCTCTACTTGGTTCCTTCTCATAAATGAGTAAGCGGCATTTAAAACTTTTCTAAACATATAATACATGTTGTTTCTCAATATTTATTTACAGCTTCAGATGCATAATATTTTCATCTCCTTCAAGCAGGATACACAAAAAGCACGTTCAATTCGGATGGTTGTTGTGGTAATAAACAACACCGTAAACAGCAACCGTTCGCGTGTCAACGCTTAATGTGCATCTCCTATATGAAAAGCATTTTAGGGGGCCCTTGGCTTTTGGGGGCCCAAGGCGGTCGCCTACCTTTGCCTAATGGGTAAGTCCACCCCTGCCCAAGGGTGTTAACTTAAGATATTAAATATGCTTAATATTTGGATTGCTTAGTTGGGGACACAATTTCTGGCAATATTGTTGACTTGACTACACAGACACTGTTGTAAAAGAACTATAGAGAAGAAGTATTTCTTACATGACGGGGATTAGTTTAGGGAAGTATACTTAGAATATCTAGATGTATAGGTGCCTCTTGATTTTCGAGAGACCAATAAACTGAATGAACACTCTCTGTATAATTAGAGCAGAACTGTATCTGTCTTTGATCTATCAACTGAGGTCAATAACGGGAATGTTTCGACTTACTTCATGCATTGCATCCAAAAGCTTGGTGAGCTGGAAAAAGCGCTGCCACGTCTGGCCGGAATTGTTAGTGGCTTTCCCAACTGAGCGGCGGAGCTCCTTGATGTAATTCACCCGCATCTCCTCAAATGCCCCTTGATTTTTCAGACCATCTTTGGGCACTGTCAACAAATAAGATGTCACTGTTACAGTAGCTAGTACTAGTAGTCTATCTACGTCTGTCTTTCTATCTATCTGTCTGTCTGTCTGTCTATTCATCCTTCCATCTAATCTGTCTGCCTCACAGTCTACCTTCTCAGGTGATTAATGTTCCCTTGTGTGAAGGTATTCAGGATTAACTCAAAGTACTGCAAACTACTTTCACTTTTGGCAGATGAGAGATAAAATCTCATTCAGGTTGAAGGAGTAATTCTCTCCTATCGTGTAGGACAAGTGCACTCATGGCCTACAGCCAGCCTCGTGAAATAACATTCAGCTTCTGGACAGCTGAATAAGAAACCGCTCATTCTCATGCTCATTCCATCCATTGCTCATCTATTCTGATGAAATTAGTAATTTCGATGCATCCCACAGACTGGCTAATTGAATTGTTTTCATTTCTGTTTGTCTCAATGTGATTTTGATGTTAATTTTTGCAAACAAAGCAATGCATTTGCACAGCATTTACACAGCGGTGCACTTTCAGGCTGTAGTGATAATTATGTACAACTTTTAATTAGAAAAATTAAAAAGAACCAATATCATTTAATAATGCTGAGTGTAGCCTTCAGACACAAACAAGTTTCAACAAACTCCAATTCTTAGCATAGAACTTACTAAAGTGATTAGACATTTTGTTAACATTACCAAATTACAACAACAAGTCCTTCAGGAGCTCTCAACTCTGTGTGTTGAATGAAAAGCAGTTCTTCATTGGCAGGTGTGTGTTAAACCCGCGGTCACTTGCCCCTGTTTTCTTCTCTCCCACTGACCCACATTCAGCCTCATTAGCCACAGGCTGCCATTTAGAGCCCCAGTGAATAAAAAGTGGGGTGATTATGCCACGCTAATCGTGTCTTGTCATAAAAAATAGATTATTTTGCCTGTAGAACCTGTCATGGTGTTAAGATATTTGACAGGAAGACTCGGTTAAAGAGCTATTTAGTAAAATTAAGCTCAATCAACAGCAATCATGGCATAATGTTGATTACCACAAAAAAATAGATTTGGACTCATTCAAATATTCAAAATTAAGAAATTAAGGTTATGGTGAGGTACTTAAGCTGTTCTCATAATTTTTCCCTCAGAGCAAAAATCAGGGTCATAGTGATGCACTTAAAATTTAATTTAATGAAGCAATTTTTGGAGATTTTAAAAATAGAAATGTAAAACTTTTTATAAAAGCACTATTTATATTAATTCTCCTGTACTGGATATATGTTTACATAGAAACATTAGGAAAAAATGTTCCATGCATAAATTCCAGTGGTGGACGAAGTACACAAATCAAGTACTTGAGTAAAAGTACAGATACGTATAATAAAATATTACTCCAGTAAAAGTAAAAGTACTCTTTTTCCAATTTTACTCGAGTGAAAGTACAAAAGTACTAGATTTTTTTTATGTACTTAAGTAAAAATGTACTGATAGATAGATTTATTTTGCAATTTCATATAGGCTACTTAATTTAATTTTATATTAGCACATATTTTTTATAATCCTACTGCTCAAAATACTTGGGATTTTCCCAAAATAACCACTGTATGGATGGAGTCAAGATATATTTTTGTTGTTGATATGGACTACGTTGACGAGAGTGATGTAGTAATGTTCACTGTGAAGTAAGTACCTGAGAGAAAACAGATGTGACCATCTGATTTTCACCAGTAAGAAAAAAGTGTTGTAAAGCTTGTTGTTTTGCAGAACATCACAGTTGTATATGACATGAGAATAAGGCCTGAAGTTAGGAAGAACATTTTAAGGAAAATATAATTACATTTTCATAATGATTTTTTTCTTCTCAAACCTTGTCTGTGGTGTAAAAACACCCCTGGCCAAATGCCCCCAGAGGGCATCACTTCCCACTTTGATAATTACTGTGCTAACAATATTTACTTATTTTCAGTATGGTTATGAATAAACATTCATATCTGTCTACTCCGCTAGCTAATCCAAACAATATACAAATGTATACTAATCAATACAAAAACAGACGTCACATAGGGATAAATGCGTAGCATTTTAATAAAACTGTTAACGTTATGGCAGCGGGGAATATGAACGTGCATGAGTTATTTGATTTAATCTGTGTTATTTTAATGTTTCGTGTTTTACCTAAAACATAGAGACACTGATGTTGATGTGTCTGCATTCAAGCATTTCAGTGGGCTTAAATAGATCACCCTTTACAGCAGATTTAGTTCACAAACAACTGACAGTTTTGACCTAAATATGATTTTCAGTTACAATAATCAATCCTGAAATTCGACATTAGTAACTTAGTAGCTCAAACAAGATCTCCCGGTTCTTACTTGTGAATTCAATTCACTGGAAACTCGCACTAAACGGTTCATTTGAATCAGTGAGTTGTCGACTCAAGAACAGCTGCAATCGGATCATTCTAATTCATGAATGAATTGTTTGGTGCAATTTGCGAATCGATTTAACGGGTTCATTGAAAAGAATGAGTTCGTTCATGAATCAGACACTGCTTCTGCGTGTCGGAGCACGTGATATGTTTATAAGGAGTAACGATATGTTTTATGAAATGTAGTGAAGTAAAAAGTACGATCTTATGCTTTGGAATGTAGTGAAGTAAAAGTAAAAGTTACTCAAAATAACACTACTCCAGTAAAGTACAGATACTTGAAAAATTTACTAAAACTACTCCGTTACTGACCACCACTGATAAATTCTGTCAGCATGCATATTGTTTAATACTACAGTATTGAAACTACTACTACCATTGAGTGTTTTAATGTTTCTGGTTTGGAGTTTTATTTAATTTTTTTTACATTCAAAATAAATATTTGTGGTAATCAACAAGTATGCCACAAATGCTGTTGACTGAGCTTAACATCTACTGAACCTGGAATATTCCCCGATAACGAGAGGGGATTTAGTTTAGTGACTCACTCTTTAGCAGGTCAACACTACCATCGCAAATAAGGTCATGTGGGAGCCTGCAGGGCTTCTGAGACCTTAGCCAAGGTCAAAGATAAATAACAGCCTCTCTCTCTCTCTCTCTCTCTCTCTCTCTCTCTATGCTAAAACTACAGTGGCCCTGAAGCCCCACAGCAGAGGGCATGACACAATAGCTTTAGCAAAGCAAAAAAAGGCTGATAACACATCAAAATTACCCCCCCCCCCAAAAAAAAAAGCATTCTGAAAAAGCTACATTATAAAAACATCAAGCAGTAACTGTACCATAATATAACATCCCAGCACAACAGCATTGATACAAAGATATGCAACATTTGCATATAAAGTAGATCATAAAGTGCTGTAGTATCTTTGTAATAGTTTGGTTTACCCATTAAAAACAGAAACCGGTTTATTTATGCAACAAAACAGCTTTTCCCAGCGTATCTCATATCAGCAATGACATACATAAGCCCGCATCGCAGATGTAGTCAGCGAAAGACGTCACATTTTTATTTATGTTTACTTTTTTAAAGAATCGCTCTATCAAAACCTTCAACTCTTCAAAAAATTTACCATCCCTGACTACTGGGCCTACACTTCCCCTGTTCTTTCTCCTTCCACGAAGCTCTCTTTTTGGAGAGAAAACACCAGCGTTTGGAGCTGTGCCCATCTCCTGACTGGATTTTATTAAGTACAGCAGGGCTCTTTGGAAAGGCTCCAGAGGATCAGCAAGTGGTTGTGGATCCTAAAATCTATCCTGTATGAGAATTCAGAACTCAAACTTTAGTCTCATATGCTGTAAGCCCAGGGGAGCATTGCTGTGCCTGTCTGCCTGTACTCAGTGTATGTACTGCTCTTGTATATGGGAGCTAAACTGATCTACAGTAGCATCCAAAATTATATGTTATGCTATATGTTATGCTATGCTAATCTGTAATAGATTGTACCCTACTCTATTACACTCCTTTATTTTTTTCTGATTAAATAATTAGCAATAATATCAGAAATAATGACAATAATAATGATTAATAATATAATAGTATGAGGATTATTATTATGCTAATGAATAATAATTATACTTAAAATGTACATTATTGTCAAATATAGTATTCATATATATATATGGGACAATTGTATTAATTATAATGGCAATGCCAAGATATGATTTAACTGTGTACGAAAAGAAAAGCTTTTTCTTTTCCGTTTGTTGTCTTAATTAATGAATAAAATTAATAAAACCAATATCTTCTAAAAAGCAATTACTTAGTGGTGCGCCTTAAGGTTGTGGAGGTGATTAAGGAACATTTTTAATTTCAATGTTTTCATTAAGAAGACATATAGAATATATAAATATAGCCTCCAGACTCGGATTCAATTGCAATTCTTACCCCCAGTTTCACAGACAAGGCTTAAGCCTAGTCCCAGACTAAAGTGTAAGTCTGCGCTGTTTTAACTGAAAGAAACTTGCAAAGAATCTCTCTCTCTCTCTCTCTCTCTCTCTCTCCCACCTTCAATACCACGACTGAGGTGCCCTTGAGCAAGGCACCGAACCCCCCACTGCTCCCCGGGCGCCGCAGCAAAAATGGCTGCCCACTGCTCCGGGTGTGTGTTCACTGCTGTGTGTGTGTGTGTGTGCACTTTGGATGGGATAAATGCAGAGCACTAATTCCGAGTATGGGTCACCATACTTGGCCACATGTCACGTCACTATTACCTTCACGTCACTGACTGATCTTAAAATATATCAGTGCCTTTGTTTTGTCTCAAGATGCTCACCAGTAATGTTTTTCCTAAGGCATGTTAATAAAAATTACTTAAATTTCCTAATTGAACAATGGCCTAATCCTGGCTTAGTCTAAGCCCTGTCTGTGAAACCGGGCCTTAGTGTCTTAGCATTAGACTAAGTGCACAAAGCTTGAGAACTTGCCCAAAATAAATTGAGTTCGCTTCTCACCCATGATTTAAACCCTTCAATTAAATAGATTTTATGTTAATTCTCTTAATGAATTAAAAGGACCAGATGGACCAGTAAATAAATAAACTGTAGATCTGAATGTTTTTTTTTTTGCCTTAATTATTGCAAAGTACAGCACAAACAGGAAAGTAGGGGTGTGACAAAGGGAAAGGGATCAAGACACTCTAACCTAGTTCCTAGAGAGCCAACAACTTATTTATCCAAAGCATGAGCATATCCCACAACAAACGTAATTGACCTTCACTGACCTCAGCTGTATAAGGCTCTAGGCACAGTTTCTATTATGAGAATGTAACCTTTCTGTTGAAATCCCTTCTCACTAAGACACTAGGTCAAATCACAGGTGTCATTATTTAAATACTTCAAAGCTCATGGAAATTTCTCTGATCTCACACACCCACATACTCAGCTTGGGTGCTAAAGGCAAACTTAGCGAATGAAGACATCCGTTCATTAATGCATTTGCTTATTTTCCTCTGTTGTTGACTGATTCTTTGTCTATAGTGGCTCTGTTTGAAACATATATAGAAGATGTTTTGAGGCACATCTATGCACACAATCTCACCTGTGCTGAGCAGCAACAGGACCTTCATGGCAAGGAACTCCTCATAAGTTAGCTGTAGACGGACAAACTCCTGGCTCACCTGCCGCATGCCCACACACAGGTCGTACATGGCTGACTGCTGCATACGTTCCCTAGAGGAGAAATTGAGAGGATCTGTAGTAAACAATGTCATTGTTACTGGTACACTTTTGTTGAATCTCAAATTGCTGTGAAAAAAGAATATTGAAACAATTAAAAGGTATAATTGAGGCACCATTTGGGGTTTATTAGATTACCACATTGGCAGAGCTGTTTAGAGAACCTCTACAGTCCAGAATTAACCCTCATCTACTGCCAAATTCAAATAAAAATAGGCTTGGGCATATAAATGAAAAATAAATAAGACTTGCCAAATGGCCAGTAACTTTATTGGGAACTATAACATTATTTGTATAACTGTAACATAAGCGATTTAACCGGCTACTAATGAAAACAGAAATAAACACTCAGTCAAAGGTTTGGAATCATTTGAAAGAAGTCTCTGATGCTCACCAAGGCTGCACTTATTTGGTCAAAAATACAGTAAAAACAGGATTTTTGTGAAATATTATTACAATTTAAAAGAACTGTTTTCTGTTTGAATATATTTTAAAATGCAATTTATTCCTGTGATGGCAAAAACTGTTCGTTTGAACTTTCTATCGATCAAAGTATCCTGAAAAAAATATTTGTTATCGGTATCCACAAAAATATGAAGCAGCACAACTGTTTTTCAATCATTCATATTAGAATGGTTTCTGAAAGATCATGTGACACTGAAGACTGGAGTTATGGCTGCTGAAAATACACCTTTGACATCACAGGATTAAATTACATTTTAAAATATTATTATAATTATATAATTATTATTATAAATAGAATGTGTAAATGTAATGAATTCTGGCTTTGTGTCATGAAATAAAAAAGCCAATGTTCACAAATGATTCAATAGATCACAGAATTAATCATTTACAAGATTTCTTATCCACCACTTTTGGTTTCATCTTGACACTTTCTTGGCTGGTTATTAATTTACTAGATAGCTTTTCTGATCTGCCACTTTGTTTGGCTCTAGCTGCGTGTCTTTCTGCATACCTGACTAGGTGAATACAAGCATGCATATCTGTCTTCCAAAGCTGTCTGACCTGCTGTCATTCTGTGCTCAGGTTTGCCTGCCAGAACTGGTTATGTCTTTTCCAGTCTGACAGATCTTTATTTAATATCCCAAACTTCAATCTGTTTTCAGATGGAATGAGAAAAGAGTTAAATTCCTCATCTCAGTGCCTGTAAGAATCTCAGCCTAATGGTGGTGTCCTTACAGTAACTTTTCTAATGATTCTTTTTATACCATTTACACTCTGTCATAAACAATAGATTCTGAAAGACAGAAGGAAATTACTTTTGTTGTGGCTCCTCGTTCAGGTGCTTCTGTATGTGACGTTAATGAATTGTATGAGAGGAGTAAAAGTTGGAAGTACATACAGTACATGTACAGCAGTGTGTCAAAGATCACCCACACCCATCCATACACATGTGAACTTATCTTTCTGACTCTCTTTGACATACTTTTAGAGGACACTGAAAAGTGTCAGACTGGAAACTTTTGTTTTGCTCCTCTTCAAGGCAGACGTACAATGGTTTCAATCAATATCTTTTAAGGACACTTCTGCACTAGTCCTGCAGTGCTTCTCAGCTGGTATTGCTTCTAGAATTCACGTGGACATTTGGCGACCAAAATATCTTTAATATATATATATATATATATATATATATATATATATATAATACAAAAATCAAAGAATTTAATACTTACTATCAATTTCTTATTTTCAATAAAACATGATCATTTCTCATTAAATACCTCACTTTTTTCTTTTTTTTTTGGATAATCTTTACTTGTCTTTGGTCTGGCATTTTCTGGTTTTCTGTGTTGTGATGATTTTATGATTTAAAAATATATATATATATATATATATATATATATATATTATTTTTATATATACTGTGTTAATGTCATGTGTTTATCTCACAAATATTGTGGATGACAACACTCTGCTGCCTGTATGTGTACTGTATCACATAGCTTAAATTACCTGGAGACAAACCTTGGACTGTTGTCGCAGTCTCATATGAAACAGATTGTCAGGAGTTAGAGAGCAAGACTTTGTGACTGTGCTGAAGGACTGCTAATTGTTTAGGAAATCAAGAGACAAAGCTTGTTTGGAAATGTGTGCCAGAAACCTGCACGACAGTTTGCCATCAGGGTGTGTGGATGTCGAGTATAAGGTGCTGAGAATATATTCATATGTAAACAAGCCAGTTAATTCTGTACTTTTTTCTCAAGATCTTTCCAAGTCATTTGGCAAATACAATGAAGTGCTCCAGTTCTCCTGCAGGGGTCACTGTGCTCTATTGTTACGCTTCTCCCACTATGCTCAATAAATGGACATTTAGCTTAAAAAGCACACAATCACACTCTTTCCACTCAACACTTCTCGTCGATTGTGCTGATTATGTGCCTCACTTACCTAATGCTCGTCCTTGATCAACCCTATCAAGAAGCATTTACAGGGAAAGTGTATTTCCTAGCGGAGCAATTGAAGGGACAGTTTTGAGGTCACAGTCGTGCGCCTGCTGGGAACATGCCTTTTAAACTTATCGTTTTGCATTATCTTAACTTGAAGCACCAAATTCTTTAGACAGGGTTAACTTAAGGCCAAGGATTGTCTGTATGTTGTAGTTTATGGAAAAAGGAAGTTTTTTTATGCTTAGATGGAGTAAATCAACAAATATCTATAGGAATTAAATACACAGTGTTGTGTGAGTTATCTTACTCGTTGAAGACGAGGTCAGGGGCGAAGTAGAGCATTTGGGCGTTGGTGTGTTTGTAGGATCTCCAGCTGAGGGAGAAGGAGGAGAGACACATCCAGGAATACTGGATCAGCGTGATTTGGTCCTCAATGGGTAGACTGCGGAAACCTGCAGAAAAAAATAAATAAAGGGCAAGTTAACACAGAGCAAAGAGACATATGGGATACTCGAGGGCATGACTTGCCCTGAAGCAGAGCTAATATTAAGCCAGAGCTGTAGGCTCTAAGAAATAAAATAGGATCTATGTGTGTGTGCGTATGTGTGCATGCATTTTGGAGCTTGACAGCCCCTTGTCACTATGAAGATGTATTTGTTATATGGAAAGAGCTCCATTATGATTCTTCAAAAAAAAAAAAAAAAATCTAATTTTGTGTTCCACTGAAAATACAGTGGGTACGGAAAGTATTCAGACCCCCTTACATTTTTCACTCTTTGTTATATTGCAGCCATTTGCTAAAATCATTCAAGTTCATTTTTTTTCCTCATTAATGTACACACAGCACCCCATAAGCAAAGGGTCTGAATATTTAGGACCATGTGATATTTCAGTTTTTCTTTTTTAATAAATCTGCATAAATGTCAACAATTCTGTGTTTTTCTGTCAATATGGGGTGCTGTGTGTACATTAATGAGGAAAAAAAATTAACTTAAATGATTTTAGCAAATGGCTGCAATATAACAAAGAGTGAAAAATGTAAGGGGGTCTGAATACTTTCCGTACCCACTGTATATATGTAATAAAGGTGAGTAAATCATGATAGAATCTCCATACCATTATTAAATTGTCAATCTAACAGTTTGAGGTTGATTCCTAGAATGGCACACATTTGTTAACAAATGAAAATGTCTTGCAGTGTAGTCGGCACAACCAGGTTTACATGAATCACTGAAGGTTTCCACTCATTGTCCTGTTGTCAGAGAGAGTTAGCAAAATAGCAGACTGGATTCTTGCCAAAACTCACATTGAGAGCTATAAAGTCACCCACAAGCTATAATATAAGCCACATGAGGACACACTATAAACTTATTGGTGAAGCAGAGGCTATTTTTGGCTTGTCTGCAAAACGCAAATTCAGTATTGACTATAATGTGTCGCAGCGTTAACTTAAAATGTATTTTGTACAATAGCTTTATCACTTCCAGGCAATCTGAGTGTCCCTTGTGTTCTGTCTCTCTCTCTCTCTCTCTCTCTCTTTTTTTTTATAAAAATAATTTCCCCACATTATCCCTTTAGAAACTTGCCAACATGTTGGTGAAACTAGTGAAATGATTGTAACTTGCACAAACTTACAGATCTTAAAATAAAAGAATTACAAAACTTAAAGTGTTAAAATACATCCTCTTTTTCCATCAAATACTCATCTAAATCATATCAGAGTTTTGACTCCTAAAATGGTTTAAAATCACATGACAAACACAGAACAATGTGGACAAACAAAACAAAATAACTAATAATTGAACATCTGCAAGTCATCACTTGTAGATTGGCTGAGCATGTAATACATTGACTGCCTGGAAAGTATTTGAAAGTCGGTGAGCCAGTTTGCCCTGGTGTGTTTTCAGCCTTCTATATTTATATCTGGATATAGCAAGGAGACACCCTGATTTCAAATACTTGCAATACAGCAAATGACCGTCTCATAGCAAGGTACCTTGAAAACTTAATTTGGAATGACAAAAACAGATTTTTCCAAAATTATAATTAAAAACTTTCTGATCATCCTATCTTGATTTCCATGGTTTATTAAGCAGCACAACGGCTTTCAACATTGACAGTATTAAGAAATGTTTCTTGAGAAGCAGATCAGCGTATTAGAATGATCTCTGAAGGATCAAGTGACACTGGAGTAATGATGCTAAAAATTCAGCTTTGCCATTACAAAAATAAATTGCATTTTAAAATATTTAAAAATAGAAAACAGTCATTTTAAATTGTAATAATATTTTACAATATTACTGTTTTTACTGTTTTGATCAAATAAATGCAGCCTTGTTGAGCATAAAATATATAATGTTAATGTAATTAACATAAATATATAAGTGCTTGTAAAAGCATAAATAATTAGGCATGAGCTGAAGACACAGGGAAAGAGTGTACGAAGTGTTAATGCGAATAATGGGAGATGGAAACACATTTACCAAATAAATTCCTCCGTGCGCATCAAAAAAGTCATGTGACTTTGCAGGATGGGACTGCATAACTTGACAAGCCAGCGGACCGATCTCGTTGCACAGCATCTGAAATGTTATGGTCATTCTGAAATGCCTGAACAAAGTCTGTCGTCAATGTATTTCTGTATAATTGCCTCCCAGAAATGTCTTCCATGACTGAGTTCCCAAACAGCAGGCATCCGCCTCCAAAAGCAATGACCGCATTTATTGTGTTTCATCTGCTCGCTCTGAGGCGCAAGTCCTTTATTATATATGAAAATTATTATATTGAGTGGCTTCTCCTACTTTTCTTAGTGATATTTAGTGCCAGTTTATCAGGAAGTGACGATTTTGTTCTCTTTGCCTCATTGGATGGAAACGGCACTTTATTTGCAAATGTTTTATGCAGTATTCCAATTTTGTGCATAAGTTAAATTCGCAACTTTGAATGGAAACATAGCTACTATGACAGCATATTTACTAAGTACATTTCAGAGACCAACTAATCAGCTCAACTAATACTTTAAACTAAAATCAGTCCAAATCAGGAAAAAAAATCCATCATTTGAATATGCAGAAGATGGAACCTGATAAACAAATTTGCCTTGGAATCGTACCTGGAAGTACTTTGGCCCACTTGACCACTCGGATCATCTGTTTGCCAGCGAGTTGGTTGAGGCTGGTGAGCAGGTGGTCGGTTGTGTCAGGCTGTGTACTGTCATAGCCAGCGAACACCACTTCAGGCTCTATGAGCTCCAGGACGCTACACACAGACGGTGACAGAAACGGTGCTACCGTGGGGACGTGGGGGACAAGAGCACTGGCAGAGCTCAACTCTTTCTCCGAGGTCAGAAACGGAGGCCTGTCCTTTGAGTTCTGCAGGGAAGAATCCTCGCTAACACTCTTCATCTTCCCCAATTTCTTCGACTTCCGTGCTGAGAAATAACAAACATATATTATTAAAACTGTTCGCTTGAGCAGCCTGATCCATTTTATGAATAATTACAATTTATGTTAAACATTGAAGGTCTTACAGTGATTTATAAGAGTGATAAATAATTTGAAATGAACAAGATATTAATGAAAAGACCCCCGGTGTTGTCTGGAAGCAGTGTTCCTACAGTTTTTCATATCTGAAACGAGCTGGAGCTGATAGAAGTAATTATTCAAATAGAGATGGATCTTATAGCAGGGATCACAGTTTAAATCCCTGCTGTATAGATGTGACCTCTTATGTGTGTCAGGGGGATGCTGTTAATTGGCTGTGTGAGTGTTCCAATTTGATATTAACTGCAAGATTCCTGTGCCAGCAGATTTTATGTCACACCAGTAAGTGAGACTGAAGGTGGCATATGTGCTAGTCCCAGTAAATGCTTAGATTTGATACTCTCGACAACTTTGTGAAGCAACTGGAGACTTTGTGATCCTTTAAATGCATGTTCATTTGTAATTTTTAATCAAATATAACTACTATATCTCTCTTGATGAAAAGTTATTAGTATAGTCTATCAGCAGAACCAAAATTGTACACTTCCCCTTATACATGCATATGATTTTTAACCTAAAAAGATGGCGGTTTTGAACCTTTACAGATTCAGGGAGAATTTCAAATAAAAGTTGTAGAATAATAAGTGTTATTAAACTCTATATGTTATATATCTTCCTTGCTAACGTCCTGCAGTGCCTTCATTGACACCCCCCCACACACACACATTTTTCATTCTACACTGGAATTCAGTATTAATAATAATGTAATATCTAATTTGATATTAGGTGATATTGTTCTCAAGATGGTTTTAAAAGAGAGAACAGAAGAAAAAAACATTGATACAGTAAATCATGTTTACTGCACTAAAGCTATACACTGGTTTAAAATAAACTTTATATGCCACATACATTTGTTAAAACTAGTCACTTAAAAATGCGTTTAGTATTAATTTATTTCCATTCCTAATGTGTCTAATATTAAAGTTTACCTAATGTGTTGTTTTCAAGAGTTTGCATGGCTGTAGTGATGTACACAGGAACACAAATGTTTGAGGCTATCCTGGATTTCTCACGTTTGTCATCAATATTTATATATCTTCAATATAATAATGTGTCCACAATCTGTATTTCACTTGTTGGGTTTTTTAAATCAACCAGAGTTTTTAACACCTTGGTCATTTTTTACAGCTCACAGAGTACTGATCAAATTGTGCTGCAATTATATTGAAAGCACAGATGTATGTGAAGCATATTTCAATATGTTCTTTTAAGTCACTTACCTTTGATAAATAAAAGAGAGAAAAAAAGAGATTTCTTTGTAACATTGTAAAGCTTCACCAAAAAGGCAATCCCTCATATTATAACATTCACAATAACATTTAGTGTTTTTTTTATATTCTGGATATGTTTTTTATATTTTAAGATTAGTGATCTCAGGTGTGCCAGTATAATTGTTTCATATCAGTTCACAACAGTTTTAGTCCCACAGTAAGTAAATTCAGTTACCCCCAAGATTCATCCCAGCTTGTAGACACGTCCGTACTCTGCAGGCTGGACAGTTTTTCCGCCGTATCTTGTCAATGATACAGTCATTCCTCCCAGCACAAAGGTAGTTGTGCTGACCTGCAAGAAGAGAGAGAGTGTCCAAGATCTCTATAAAACTCTGTCTGTATCTTTCTTTTTGTTACAGAAATTAGGAATTAGTTCTTCCATGGTTCACATGGACAATGGTTTGTTTATAGGACTATTAATGTAACCTATTATTTTAGTATAATTATTTATTAAAAATGACATAATATTAGCTTTTTCTGTGAGGGCTTTTCTAAGACATGTTGATGTGTTTTGGTTAATTAAAAAATATTAATTAGATTATAATGTAAATCATTCAGTGAAAAATTTTACTTTTTGATTTACTGCCCTAATTTATTATGTAATACAAAAAAAGGCAGAGTGATCTATTACGTGCATTAGCAAAAATGTGACCTTCACAAGGACACTGTAATGCATTCTGGTCCTCGTGCACAGCCATCCCTTTGTGAGTATGCAATGCAAATGAGACAGCTGTCTTGCACTTTACGCCAAGTGTCCCTGCACTATTATCATAGAGGACAAATGAGCCATCCCAAATAGTGTTTCTGAGTGTGTCATGGGTTGGCTGATGTCTTGGCGTGGGACACTATGATAGAGAACGTAACAGCCTGAGAATCCCGCATGCGCTGCCTTCCTTGGCCAAGGCCACAGCTTGTGGAACGAGCTCTCGTTTCGGAGCACCATTCCGCTCCACTGACTCGCCACACACCCACGCGCTCCACAGGCCAGAGCACAACGCCGCAGGGCCACATCCAGGCACTGCGGCCGTGTCCATCGCTCTCTTTCTTTCTCTTACCCATATTCCACCCCCTCTTTCACTCGTGCATTATGGGAAGGACTTCTCTGCTAATCTGCACGGCACTGGTGCTACTTACATTACATGAGGGTGCTTTCCTCTAGTGCTTATGGACCGTGTGGCTGCAGACAGGCACAATGAGTGTTTTCGGTGGAGGGGAAAATGTGCAGCGAGTCTGTCTAGAGGCTGCCAAAAAAGCCCAGGATCTGCTCACGGAGCAGCAGCAGCTGTAGCCTTGCCACTATTTCTGGCTAAATCACATGACCCCTTACATAAGCCCATTTTTCTTGCTCTAAAAAAAAAACAGTAAACTGCGACACAGGAAACACAACGAAGCCCTCCTCTGCCTCACCACCCAAACACAGACACAAATCAGACCTGAAATCTGTTGGGCTGATTCTCGGGCCCCTTCTGACAACTGTACACGTCTGCCCCACAAATCCTGTTAATCATTGTCCCATGCGAAGAACGTACACATAGACTGTACCATACTGTGTTTGGGTATCAGCACACAAATGTGTGCTTGTAGGTGATTATGTACAAAAGTAGCACAGAGACTGTTTGTGTACATAAGGACAGAAGGGGAACTTCAAGTATCGTAGCGTTTCAGCGCACTGTAGTTTGTGGATCTATATCTGTGTGGTGTTTATGTACATTGGCTTAAAAAATCTCAGCAAGTGCATATTATGGTCTGTCACAGTTGTAGTATGTTACCTCATTGTTTAGCTATTGTTTTCTAAAAAATTTAGAATTTTTTTGTGCTTCCAATAGGAATGTTTTTGCACGCTTTTAGGGTGTGTTTACATTTGTTATTCGGTTCTCTTGGTTCTTTTAGTCCGGACCAAAAAAGAAAATGATACATTTGGTTCGCTTGGTGTTAACACTGGCATTTTTAATACTGAACCTAAAGATACAAACAAAAGGCATAAGGATATGGTCACAACCTGATTGGACAGATTTTATGATCTATATTTTGCGAACTTACCCAACATCCAGAACTGCTGTGTGCTGGGATAAATGCATAAAATGTGTAAACAGTGTGTATCCATGAGCATTTCGTCCTTTTAGGGTCGCCTCTTGTGACATCACATCCTGTTTTTGGCTCGTTATTCAAATGAACCGCAATAACAGAGCAATCGCACCAGAGTTTGTTTTAATCAAACCCAACCTGCCATATGTGAACATGCCTTTAGTGTTCCTTTTCTGTCCTGAGACTAAATTAAAAGTCAGATAGAGATTAAAGGGATAGTTAAGTCAAAAATCTAATTTTGCCATAATTTCCTCACTCTCATATCATTCCAAACCTAACTTTTTTAATTAAATTTTATTTATGCCGAACACAAAAGGAAATAATGCAATGAATATATGTTTGTGTGTATTTAAGACAATGACAGTAAACTGCACTGCAAGATTGCTTCGATACCTTTTGGAGAAAAAAGCAATTCAATACTGAGGCCATTTTAACTGTAAATTTTGTGTGCGTCATCCAACCCTTCACCCTCCAGTCCAGTAGATGGCGAAAATGTTCACCTGCTTTTTCTGGTGTTTCTGCACACCCGCTTAAAAGTTGAAGTTTACCACAATTATTTTACTGTCAAAATTGCTTTAATATTGGGTTGTTTTTCACCATTCAGACCAATTGGAAAATGTTCCGAGAGCCAGGTTTAAGTCATACAGGTTTGGAACGACATGAGTACATTTTGTGATTAATCATTCTCATTCTGTCATTTTACAGTTTTACTCCTGAATTTTTTTGCCCTATTTAGCCTGAAATTTTGTGGATCCTTTAATCCAACAAATTCATCTCCTCATACACATTTTACCAAATGCCATTAGTTCCCACAACCTCCCTCTTATGCTTCAGTGTGCACTGAGTTTAATACTATGGCTGAATTTGTAATACTCATACTATTTCTGCCATATCGTATCAGCCTAAGTGTGTGCACGAGAAGAGCCAACATGGGGCTTCCTGTAAAAGCCTGTGTCTACTTTTAGCCAACTACGTCATTCATGATAGAGGGATGCACTGAAAACCTAGCCTGTCAGCTTAGTAATGAAGCAGACATTTAAAAAGGACACTCCCTGTGAGACACATGCAATACAATATTCACATCTTTTTCTATCTGTTTTCCAACTTGCGTGTCATTTCTGGCTTCAGCGTGGACACGTGAGCATCTCTTTTAAAACGGTTCTCCTTACGCCAAGTCTACAGATCTGTTTTCATGGCAACACAGTGTCATATATCTAACCTACATTTAGACCAATAGGATTAAGCCCTTTTGATTAGCTGCAACATGTAGCGTAAACAACAACATAGAAAAAACATAGGCTGATGGCATATGAATCAGCATCCGTCTAGTTTTTTCACCATGTACTTCAAATCTATTCCACACATGTGACTCACATCATGCTGCTATAAAATGTTATTGCAGAATGCCATTTCTGCTACTTTGGGTTATACTGTAAAAATTATTTTAAGTATATTTTTGCCAGAAAATACTATTTCAGTCTTTCTAATTCAAAAATTCATGTTTAATTCAATGTGTTTGTCATTTCTTTGCAATTATTTGTGAAATTTACTAGCAATTTCTAAGTAGAATTTGTTTCAAAGTATATCTTACACTAAACTTTTTCAGTGTATAAAGGGGCATTCACATTGAAGTGACAAAGTGATCTGAGATTTTCATTGACTTCTGATGCCATGAGTGACAATGACAGTTAGTGATGCGACAAAGTTGAGCTGAACTTGACTACCAATGGAAGTTCAGATAATGATCTGCCACTTAATATAGCATTTAAGTCGAAAGGCCTACTAGCAACCACCAGCTCTGTAACCTGCAGCGTTTTAATCACAATGTAAACGCCCCTTCAGTCAATGACATTACCGATGTCAATTTCTAAAGTAAGACATTGGCATGAAACTCTAGATGGCGCAGTCCGATGGGTCTAACTCAATCTGATCTAATGACATCATCACATGGCACAGCTGATTGGTTCTCTCCTGCATTGGTAGCCAATGAGCTCGCTGCTCAACATTCAAATATATGACTAATGTTTGCCGTAGCAGTTGCAGCTTGCTTCAGAATAGCGAAATCAACATCTAAGATTAGTGAATGCTCTTCTAATCCATATCGCTGTGTGTATTGCGTGGTCTGCCTAATTGAAAAAAAAAATGAGCAACCACAATCAAGTTTAAACTAAGTGTCATGTTAGCAGTTTGCATTGTATGCAGGAGCGAATATTAAGCATATTAGCTGCATCATTTAGCATCTGTGTTTATACAGCTGGAGCAAAACGCAGTTTTTCCTCATACACAAGCATTCTTGTGTATGCATTTCAACGGGGGTTCGCCATATACAACGGCGACTATCCCAGTGTTCACGTTCGTTATTTCTAAGGTCGATGTTTTCATTGTGATGAGTGTGTGGGTGATTTCAGCTGCACGCAGTTTCAGAAGCACTCGCTTATCGCAGGCATATCAATGGCAGTGTTGCGGGAGACGCTGAAGATCACCATCTACGGCTGTAACAGTTAGTTCCGAGTGAAATGCATTATGGGTAGTGTAGTTCTGAGAAATGTGCTATATATATATATATATATATATATATATATATATATACACACACACACACTGTATATGAAAAAACAATTGCTGTAGATTAGCTTAGGGCTGCCTTGAGGGCAACATAGGTTAGAATTTGTCATTGTGATTATGATGATAAATTGATACAGTAAGAAACATCTGTCACCAACTAACCATAAAAAAGCCTTTCTTAACCTCAACCGTATCAATAATACACGGTCACGACCCATGTCCCAAAATATATTGATGTTGGAAACACAGATGCCATAATGTGATAGCCGTCATCCGATTTGCTTAAACACAAAGGGTGTCTCATTTTGCATTGATGTCAAAGAACAAAGGTATCACCCAGAAGGTGGAAGAGATGGCAGATACTGAAAGCAGCTGTGCCATAGGCAAACACAGAGGGGTTATTTGAGGTGAGGAAAGAGGGATTTGTATGACTTGTTTAGTTGACCGTATAGTTGTTCGGCCCTTTAATACTCCTGTGTATCACTGATCAATCAGAGCACTCTGAGTTCTGGCGTATTTCAGTATGTGTGCCTGTCAGCCGCAAGCATGACAAAGTAGAATTTGTGGACTTTCAGTTTTAGTCATTAAAAGCATATTTCAAATTCATCCTTAGGGCTATAAATAATTGAAGCCATTTCTGTATAAAAAAAAATATATATATATATATATATATATATATATATATATATTGTATATAAAATCATTTTATTTTAGACATAAAGAAAAAAAAAATAAAGCTGTGCAACACAGCAAAAATGTTACTGGTTCCTGGTTCCAGACATTTTAAGGGGCCAGTTGAGAGTTTTCTTTTTTTTGGAAATGCACTTCCAATTGGGCACTGGCTCTGGCACCGGCACTGTCGAAAATGAGTGAATACATACCTTTTTATAAAGACATCTAACTCCAGGAACAGCTAAAATACTATAAACGTTAAATGTGAATTCCTATCATTTAGCGTTTGTCCCTCTCCATCCCCGAGGTCCCAAACCCTACAGCTAAACCAACACAATGAAACCGGTCTATCCCTAGTGCCAAATGTAACAACAGATTCTCATAATGAAGGAACAAATATTTAAGTCCTCAGACTGAACAGCTGTAGAGCAACTAATAAAATTCTGTTGAGTATTAGCTGGTACCATATGGCCACTTCACACTATTCCCACAGAAACAAGTGTTTGTGCTTCTATTAGTTATTATTCAAGCACCTGAGGAACTACACAACAGAGGTTAAGTATTGACTGCAATATTTTCCTTTCAGAATTTCTCGCATCTATGCCTGAGTTTAGCAGTTTTCATTCATATCAGAAAGAGCATTCCAGACCTTTATGCTATTCAAAAAACATTGTGAAGGTTGAAAAAAAAATGGCCTCTTTACTTCCCTTCTTACATCTTTAAATATCAGTCTTCTGGCTGTCTTTTGCTCGGTTCCAAAACCACCTGAAATGCCTACGGAGGCTGCATTTTAAGTCATCATAAAACTGTGCTCCCAACAGGAAGGCTATCGCAAAAGGTAGATATCTTACATATGCTGATACCTTTTAACTGTTTTTAAACGGTGTTCGTATTTATTTACCATTGTTTGCTGAATTTTTTGTCAGCAGAATCCACTCATTTCAAGAGGAATCCACACAACTGGGAAATTTGTGTGAGGGCAAAAGATTTACACATGCAGATTTCGTATCGGGTTCAGATTGTTCATTCAAATTCGCTATGTTTACCAAAATCTGTCCAAGATGACGGATGAGGCAAGACAAAATTTGTTCAATACTAAAAAGCATTGTTAAAAAATAGATTAGATTTTGACCAATATTTGGGTTTGCTGAGTATCTGTACGCATATTAGGGCAGTGTATCCCAACCCTATTTGAGAAGGCACATCACAAACAGGGTTGGGACCTTATTCAACTCATCAGCTCATTAGTAAAGACTCCAAAACCTGAAATGGGTCAGATAGACGAGACCTCCAAAATGTGTACTGTTGGCGTGCCTCCAGGAACAGTGTTGGGAAACACTGTATTAGAGTATTGTGTTGTTAGCTTAGCAACATGCTAATGACAAATTCCACTGAAAACAATTGCCTGTCAAATCTCACTTGTGCTGCCCGCTATCTGAGTTGCTGCCTATGTAAAGAATTCCAAATAAATCTCATATGAGCTTCCAAAACAGTTAGGATGTAAGATGCTACCTTAGAAAGCAGCTGCCTATGTAAGCAGCAGGCAGCAAGGTTAGATTTTGAAACAGAACTCTCTCTGTCTATTCCCTCACTCTGACTATCATTTTATCCTTTTCCAATCTTACTGCTCACCCTCCCTCTTCCCCTAGCTCACTCTTTACAATCTCTCTCTCTGTCTCCTCCCTCCTTTCCTCTCGCTCTCTCTCTCAGCTGGTAACTAGGCTGAGGTCAGGTAAGGTAATGGAGCGCACTCTCTTACACAGCACTACCTCTGCTGCGGTGTGGTGTAAAGTGGCTGCACTTCTGAATGCCCTTGAGGTGTGACCTCATTCAGGGCTCTAAAAAACAATCACAACCTAAGAGAATGCTTTATATAAACACATTTGTCAAACATTTAATAACTTCATATATTAATATAACTTACTAAATTAATTTTATATTAAATGTTAAAGGATAACGTGCAGTCAGCTGGTCATTGTCACATAATAAACCCTCATGACATGAGTAGGGGTCCTGTATCATCCTGAAATGGTTTATTTTCCGAAAATGACTAGCTGACTGTACATTATCTTGCTGATTAGCAAATAATAAATAAATGGACATGAAATGTGTGTTACAAGAAACATGAAACTAGGTCATTATACAAAAAAAATTGACCCATCAGAATCAAGAATTCCAGAGAGCAATGAGTTAAAGGGAGAGTTCACACACACAAGTGAAAATTCAGTCATCATTTACTCACCCTCATGTGGTTCCAAACCCATTAGACTTTAGTTCTTCTTTGAAATACAAATGAAGATATTTTAATGAAACCTGAGAGATTTCTGTCCTTCCATTGAAAGTTCATACAACCAAAACTTTGACACTTCATAAGTTCATAAAGACATTGTAAAAGTAATTCATATGAACAAAGCGGTTTAATCCAGCTCTTCTAAAGAGACACTTTATATGATGAACAGATTTAATTCAGGCTTTTATTCATGTATAAATGCTGATCAACAGACATACATGGAACACATCAAATATGATAAATGGAAGCTCAACCATACTTGCTTGACGTGCAAGAACAAAACTCACTGGTTCTTGTGGAATTTAATTGCTAGACTATAAATGGAAGGACAGAAATCTCTCAGGTTTTATTAAAAACATCTTATTTTTGGTTTTGAAGATTAACATTTTATGAGGTAAATGAGTAACTGATGACAGAATTTTACATTTTTGATGGACTATTTAACCATTTGACATACAGCCCAAACTAACCGCTAGATACCGTTTACTAGTATAGCATACTAGTCCAGTATATGAGAAACAGACTACGAATATCCAAGGTAATTTTAAAATTAACCACAGATGCTTTCCATAGACATTAAATTGGAAGAAAAAAATCTTTGTATTTACATTTTTTATAAATAAAAGCTCAAAGTTTTGACATGTTTTCTTCAGGGTACAACAACAGCAACAATTCCTAGAGTACAAACAGGTGTTTCTTTGAATAGCCTCAAACGATCACTCCCCCCAATCCCCGGCTGTTATACACTGCATAATTAATCAGCAAACTGCACCTTTCCAAAGAGGCTGTGATAGCAACGTGTCTGTGTCAAAGCTAATACAAATGCCCCACTGAAAGTTCAACTTAAGTTCAAAGTATTAACAACATTTCACTCCCCTTATCAGATGTGAATTATCCATAGGACATTGTTACCTAAATTTAGAGCGTTAAAATCCAGGCCTGAGACTACTTTACCAAATATATGACATTTTTGCACTACAAAGTATTGTGCAAATATTAAAGTTTATACAGCTGTCCTATTGAAGAGTAATATAATCCACATGTATAATCTATAATTGAATTCATCTCTTATTTTGAGCCCATTGAATCAAAACACATAGTCTCACCATCCAGAATCATTACAATCTCTAGAGCTCTATGAAATGCACAAACCATGCAGGAATTGATGCTGCTTTAAGATGACCTTTTTTAGGAAGGAATCATCCTGTTAATAAGACATTTCTCAAAAGAACATGCTTGAAAGAGAGAAAACAGATAAGTCTTACCTTCTACTGCTCTTTTGAAGAAAACTTTACAGCTTCCACATGTAATAACCCCATAGTGACATCCTGACGCTTCATCTCCACACACCAGACACACTTTGGCTGTTGATGATGTGTGTCTCAAAGACGCACTGAAACAAGAGCAAATAAAATTGTACCTGTAAACTGTACTTGAGACATCAGGTGCAGGTGAAAAACCACACTAATGACATAACTCAGCATGGTCAGAAATAGTTCTGTGTTGCACTGGCAGTTCAAGGGTAACTGTAGGAATTAAACAACTTAAAGCATTTAATATTTGAAAATAGCTGGAAAATCAGGGACAATATACAGGTGCATCTCAATAAATTAGAATGTCATGGAAAAGTTCATTTATTTCAGTAATCATAAGGCTGCGGTTCTCTCGGTTGGTTGTGCATCTTTTTCTTCCACACTTTTTCCTTCCACTCAACTTTCTGTCAACATGCTTGGATACAGCACTCTGTGAACAGCCAGCTTCTTTGGCAATGAATGTTTGTGGCTTACCCTCCTTGTGAAGGAATTCTTCTGGACAACTGTCAGATCAGCAGTCTTCCCCATGATTGTGCAGCCTAGTGAACCAAACTGAGAGACCATTTTGAAGGCTAAGGAAACCTTTGCAGGTGTTTTGAGTTGATTAGCTGATTGGCATGTCACCATATTCTAATTTGTTGAGATAGTAAATTGGTGGGTTTTTGTTAAATGTGAGCCAAAATCATCACAATTAAATGAACTTTTCCACGACATTCTAATTTATTGAGATGTACCTGTACATTTAAGTAAATAAATTATCTTTTAATCAACAAATTGCTTATTTTATCCCAGACAGGGGTTCAAAAAAATATTATGATAATTGAATAACTCTAAAAAGGTCATGTGATAAATTTCACATGATCTTACTTTCAATAATATTTCAAAGTTTTTTTTTCTGCAGGTTGGTTGCACATGTATTTGATAGGGCAGACATAAGTTGTTCAATTATTATTATTATTATTATTAAACAATGAATGCTCATTAATCAATTATCACATAATTATAATTAATAAATGCAGAAGAAAATAATTGACCTGCCTACTATTCAAAAATACAAAAATAACGGAATGCCCATAAATAACACCCCAGGTCTGAGCTAAGTTTGTCCTGCTCTGCAGGGCCGTTTGAGACCAATGATTATAGCGCTGCAGAAATCACGTAATTCCCACATTGTTACTGGGCACCCAAAGGGCAAGGCATATGTCATAACCTATGTCTCACCATTTTGCTCCAGAATCATAAGAATGGTCTGCTCAGAAAACTGACTATGCAACATCTACATGAATACACCCGTATATAACACGCCACTTTCAAAGCAGTTGATTTATACCTAATCTACTGGAGACTAAAAAACAGAGTGCATACAGAAATAAATACTGAACAGCATTAAGTGGCAGAAAATGAGAGAATATTGGAAACTGAAAAAGAGAGAATTTTATATCCCGTGCCCTCCAAAATGAAATTGAAACATTCAAAACGAAGCACATGCTCCAAATAGTCTGGCTGAGTTGGCAGAAATCTGATTAAATTGCCCAGTGAAACCTGACATAGCCTGAGTGGGCAGAGCCTCTTAGAAGGATGCCCTGTGGACCGGGTGAAAGTCACCCTTTGAAAGACACCTATGGTGTGCAGGAAATACTACACACAGCAGAGCTCATTTAAAACCAACAGTAACACTCTAACAATACTTTAATGGCAATATAGGCTTCGCACGTACCTCCCCCACCCCAGCTTTGATAACGAGTGTGCTCTCGTTTTAATCAGTAGTGCACGGTAATTGTCTGGTTAGCAGTCTGACAACATCCTTGAGTCTTAACAAGCCTCTGGGTCTCAGAGGCATGTTCCCTTTCAAGGCCTGGTGCTGGTAGTAACTTCATTGCATCTTTCTGACACAGTCGAGAGAGCTGATCTAATTCTCCCTCGTCCGTCTAAACACACATTCAATTTGTTAGCCCGTTAGCAGGGGTCTCTTGCGAGGGAGTCGATTGGCAGGCCCTGGTGAGCTAATCACCCCGGCGGCACCGCAATGCTCGCTGTGCATGATGCGGAGAGGTCTGGCTGTATTAAACTGTTCAGCGAGCCCCTCCATTTCTCTTGTTCTGCACCGAGCGCTCCTTGCCACCAAGTAAAAAAAAATAAGACAAAGCAAAGGGCTGACAAGGTGACTGCTTTTGCAGGAAGTAGGTCAGTGTTGGTTGTTATGAAACAGATCGCCCTTATGACCAGCATACTGCGAGAATGCTGCTGTTGTGTTTTGTGCATGAGAGAAAAACACTAATTAGCATCTACAACATTAGCTGGTGGATATATATATAATAGATATAATAATATATATATATATAATTTTTTTTTCTCACGAGTGTAAATAAAGTGAATGGGTAACTGTGTTTACGTTAGATAAAACATCAAATTCTTTGACGTTTACTTTTATTTTGGTATCAAAACATGGACAGATTGATTTAAGGCAAGTCACTCTAGGTGAATGGGCTTAATAATAATAATAACAACAACTAGAAATTTTTCAAATGATGCATTATCTAATTAAATATCGACTAATTTGCATACATTTCCAAAACAGAAATCAATCAAAATTCTTGTATCATTTTGTCAACATTAGAGTCAAGGTTTGCTCTTTTTATAACTAAATAAATCAGAAAATGCTGTCAATAGACAGAAAAAAAAATCACCATGTTTTTAGGAATAAAGTGTCATATAAAATCAGGCAAATTAAATCAAGTATGAACAAACCCCTCTGTAAAACACAAGTGGAGATTTCTTAATAATAATAATAATAATAATAATAATAATCATCATCATCATTTTGAAGACTTGGTAGTAAATCTACTTTGAAAAATCAGCCTTTTAAGATATGCAGTGTACTGTAATTGAAATCTACAGATGCAAACAGATGAAGTGCAATAAAATAAACACTTAAATGTGTATGGATTTTTTTCTTTTCACTAATCTGAAACGACACGTTTTGAAATGCCAAATAGGCCAAAGTCTCAAAAATGTATTTGTCACCATTTGTGTTCCTTCCTTGATAAAAGAACACAAAGATAAAAACATCTTGCACATTATAAGATAAACGCACTCGGCAATGCTTGAAATGATTCTCTGGGAACAGACAGGTCATAAGGAAGGTAATAAGAAAAAGGTGTAGGGTGAGGACACTTGCAACTATCTACAGGTGTTTGATTTCTCATTTATTTTATGTACAATTGCAGTCTAATTAGAGTGGACTCACCACGCATTCAGATCAAACATAAATTTGTTCCTAGCTTTGGGGTTGTTTTTTTTCTTCTTTTCTTTCTTTTTAGATATGCTTTTTATCTTCAGATTTCATAAAAAAAATAAAAATCAGAAATACCTCCGTAAGCAAGTAGATTACTCAAAATACTCAAGAATGCAGAAGCCCTCTTTGATCATTAATATGACAATTCCATCATTCCTGTTATGCAATGCCTTTTAAATTCTTTAACTTGAATATTATAATAATAATAAAAATAATATAAGAGAGAATTTCTATAAAAGGATATATTTTACTTTAGTCAAGATCAGGCAATTTATTACATACCATTATTTACACAAATGGGAACTGAAGAGGTCAGTGAGGGTTTGAGAGTTGGCTTACACGAGGATGTTAATTTGAAGTTATTTTAACAATATTTTGAAATTTTGATGATATAATTTCTTTGTTTCATTTTAATCGACAGGACAGAATGCTCTATAGTGAGACAAAACACAGAATTCATAAAATTCCTGGCTAATACTGTACTTACTGATGTTTGTGTTGCTATTAAAAATTGATATCATTTCCTGGACGATGGTATCATTTGGAAACTGGCTTGTTGGAGAATACTACAGAAGACCAACAGAATAGTAAGTTATATTAAGGGCACAGAATAGTCTTGATTACCAACTAAAACAATATTTCCCAAAAATGTCTGATTAAAGAAAGCAGAAAAAAAATGAATATTTCTTAGTTAATGCAAAGCCCCCAGGGAAATAACCAAAATAGCAACATCCACTCAACCAAAGTATTGCAATTATGTTCCTTTAATTGTGATATTATGATAAAAGAGATTAATCTAACATGATTTCCTTCTTTTAAATTTGCTAAATTTATATTCTGTCCAATACATATGATTGCTTAAAAATACACTGCACCGTAGGAATGACCCAATTGCATTCGTTCAGCAGAATCTGGAGTTTATGTCGGTGCAAGAGACATAATACAGTATGTTTAATGACCAAGTTTCATGGACATAAACAGGAAGCAATTTTTTTTATGATACTGCACCCTAATACGTAAATACGCATTGTTCCCTGTGCAATTACACAACCGAAACTCTGTACAAAGGAAGTAATTGCGAATTGAAACCATAGTGATCACTTACCGGTCATCGATGGAAATAAGTATATAATACATTATGTTCAAGCTCAACTTGGAAACTACAGGAAGGGAAATGGAATGCAGAGTTTGGGCATTCGCTATATTATTTGGATATTGAATATTTATTGCTGCTTACGTGCTGCTGCATCAGCTGAGATCTGCAGAAAGATACTGGCAGGGTTGAGAAAGAAGACTGACAGATGGATTGGGAATGCAAAAATAACAAACCATATAACTGCTGGAATGCACTGCACAGGAACTGTCACGTATCAATCTCAACAGAGCGCTAAAGCAGCAGTCTTTCGCCTGCCTCTGTGCAGAGCAATGGGCAGAATTAGAACATGCAGCGATAGTTACGCTGAATTTAAACTCTTAGAGCTGTTCCCTATCAGTTAAGGTGGGTGTAAAGTTATCAGACTTCACAGTACAGGATGCTAACCAAAGCCAGAGAGTGAAAGGCTAGAGAAAATGAGTAAGCCAGAGAAAATGAGTCCTGCTCAGCTTCAAGAGGATCACCAAACAGCGACCACTCTTACCGACAACCACCTCCTCTCCAGTCTAGAGTATTTATGTAACACAACTTGGAATGCGGCAAAAGCTAAAGGTAGATTAGGTAAAACAAACGGCAGAGGATAAATGGCTTGCGTAACCAAAGTGAGACAGTCTAAACATCATCACTGCACCCACTCCACGCACCGTGCAGAGCGGCCCGCAGAGAATTATGGGTCCCCAGAGTGCTATTAGGACCAGGATCTACCGAAGGTCAACTGCAACGTCAGTGAGTGCGTGTAAAATACATTTACATCCTCTTAATATACCAAAACCTGAATTAATATCCACTGGGGGTGATCTGAAGTGAGTGCCCCAATATGGCTGCCTCCCTAATGCTCTTTAAATGTAAATGATGAAGCTGTGAATTATGAAGAAGTAAAAAAAAGAGAAACCATTCTGAAATATATGTCAAAGCTATTTTGCTCGAAAAATTTGAATTCAGGCATCCAAAAGAGCAATAAATTTTTATGCAAATTATTGCAATTTTGAAAACAATAAAATAAATGGTATCTATCGTATGCTTTACTAGTTTGTGCACGCAAAATTATTATGTATGTTGCTCATTTTCAAACGCTGTCTGCCCATTTTACTAAAGAAATTATGCAATTTGTGTTAATTACAGCAAGTAAATAGCATAGATGTTTATGAATTGGGCCAGATTCACAAAATATTAATACAGTTCTTCTTACGACGACGACTATTTTCTTCTTATTTACGATTATAAACAACCTCTTAAAGTTAGGATATATTAAGCATTTACTACATAGAATACATACTGCCATTGCTAGAGATGTACACAAGTACTCTGAGGTGACTCCAATGATTGATAATGACTTTTGCTGAATTCAAAATGTAGTAACAACTCTACAAAAAGAGTCAAATAGGACCTTGTTTTAAATTTTATGGCAGTTTTCAGCAGCATTCAGCACATATAAAAGAGCCAATACACAGGATGTGCATTCACTTTAGCAGCCTGTACTCACACAGAAATACAGGACAAATTCATTCTACAGAAAGCACAAATGAATGGAAAAGAATGCTTCATCTTGAGACAGGTTCTTTGAAAATAACCATTTAAAATACATTTAAAACACAACCACTTGAACTCCTGTTAAGCCAGTTGCAATGAAATCAGTGTGGACGCTTATAATGATTATTACAGTAATCTGGGAGCACAAAAAGATGCCATTTGAGGTGTTTTTCATTGAGTTAATCAGCAAGTCTTTGACTAGAACCAGCATACAATCAGATAACACCAAATACTGTCATGTTCTTTACTCTCAGAAAAAAAAAAGTTTCAAAAGCTGTGACTGGGGCAGTACCTTAAGAGTACATATTAGTGCCTAAATGGTACATATTAGCAACTTTTGGAAAGGTACTAACCCAGTGTCAGCTTTTATACCTCTGAGTGTGTTCTTAATACAATGAAATGTGCTATACAAATAAACTTGCCTTGCCTTGCCTTAAGAAAAATTTACCATTTGAGAATGTTTTGTTTTTCTCAAGAATTGTATTTAGGAACATTCTTACTAACTTAGAATGTCTCTCATGTTCTACAGAATTTGACAGCCTTAATTTAATACAGTTGCACTTGGCTTTCACTTATTCAAGCACTCATGTAGTTACATGTGATGCAATTGAAAAAAAGAAGAAAATATGGGTATACACAAATTGTTGACTTTACAGTGCCACAGGTTATATCTTCCCTTAGGCAGACGGCATGAGCAAACTCCGTTTCATAACTTTTCTGATATTCTTTTTAATCCCATCAGGCAGTGACATGGAATGGTTTTGCATCCTTGACTGAGTGTTCTATATAATTAAACAATATAATACAGTAGATTTATGAGTAAGAAAAAGTGATTGCGTTAAGCTAATTTTGTGCCTGTTTTCAGGTTTTGTACACTTATGCTTATTAATGCCCTCTAGCAAGAAAGCTTTAAATGTCCTAATAAATGATTTCTGGCAAGATCATCTTGTGTTTCTCACCTAATGCACCTCACCTATCAACTGATGTTCATCAGCATGAATATTATTTCCCTGGGTGTGTCGAAGCCTGGCAGAGAATGAACAGCCATCTATTAGCAGAGCCACGGAGACAGAATCTCACATAATACCCCAGTGGTCAACACCAGATGTGA